TTAGTTGGTTTAATTTACATTTGGTTGCTCTCTATTTTTTCCCCTTTTGTTTCTCTGCTGTTCATTTTCTGTCTTCTTATCTCTTTACTCCTCGCTGCTTAGATTGTTGCAGTGAATATAAATAATGTCTGATATTAGTGCATTCTCTTCTTTTTCTTATACATGACTGATTCTGCACAATTCTGTCTGTATTTCAAAATGTTTACTAGCATTTAATGGCATACTTAAAAACACTACTTATTATAAATAAATGACAATCGATCGGCTTTATGTTAGCACATCTACAGTGATTTGTAGTTGGCTAGTTTGTTTTCAAACCCTGTATGGTTACTAGACATGGCTTTACTAAGGGATGGCTGGATGATGAGCATACACACAAATACTGTAACACACATGAAACTATCTTTAGCTTGCAAACAAACACACTTACTGTATAGTCTGCAGTGAACAGAAACCTCAACTAACAAAAGACCTTGCAGGAAGGTACTGATTGTTCTCTCGCCTTCATCTCTCCATCTTGCTCTGTTGCTGATGTTGGCCTCGCTTGGGAGAAGAGCAGGAAAGGAACGATAGGACGTCTGTATTTTAACTGGGTCAGACCCCTGCAGCAACAGGCTCACGAAGAGATCAGAAAGTATTTTTCCTATTTGATTTAAATATTGAGATCTGTGTATGACACCGTTCGTGCTGTGCAGTATTACAGCAGAAGCTGGATGCGTACAACATTGTTTAAATTGTTTTTAATGTTTATTTTTGGCGGGAGGTATTGATAATTTATGAATAATATGACTGATTTGGTCAAATCAAACATTTAATATCTGGATTTTAAAAAAAATCCTCTTTTGGCCAAATGTGCCAAATGAGATGTGAAGGCATGCCAGCCTTCAGATCGAACAGCTACATTTAAAAGTACAGCAGATCTTGGCATCCTCAGTCCGTCAGTTCAAAGCCAGTGGCAGTTCAGATGCTGTTTGGCAGGCCAGCTTTATTTTTTTATTTTTTTGCTTCAGGGATTCGAGCAACTCAAAATGCTCGGTAGGCTCATGTTTTGGCAGTTGAAGCCCCCTGGCTGTTCTGGAGCAGGCGGGTATAAACAGAAGCGTTCAGTAAACGCATACAAACATGCACTCATAGGCAAAGCTCCTTCCTTAATCATCACTTTTTTAGCAGTCTCATCAGGGTAGCTCAAAGTGACATGTAGAGTACAAAGTGTTTCTGGTTGAAGAAGCAAACACTGTAGGATGTAACTGTCCAGCAGCATCTTTGTCTCGAGTTTGCAGCCTAAATGATACCACGTGATCTTCCTGGATGAACTGAATGCCGAGGATGCGTTGGCACCAAATTAATTTCATTGTGAATATTATGAATACACTCTTTAGTAGTAATACATCAGAGGGAGAGCTTGGGTTGAGCAGGTTGGAGACATGGTTAGTGAGGCGAGGCTGAGATGGTGGGGGCATGTTGAATATGGAGATGCCAAACATGGGGAAAGGTGGAAGATTGCAGATGACTTTCATGGCTGTGGTGAGGGAGGACATGAAGTCAGATGATCCACTGTTTTGGTGACCCCCGAAAGATGATCTCTTGGCAAGTTTACGTTTTTCTCCCCGCAAACCAATATTTCATTATTTCATATTTAATTTGACTGTTCTGATTGGACCTTTCTGCACATTAATCAGTTACAGTTAAATCTCCCAAATGTATCCACAACTGTGGCGATGAAGTGAAATTATTTTTTACATGTCTGTATGGAGATCTCGTGTCAGTTATATGCCGTCTTCATGCACCATATCACCTAATTAAAAGGGCAAGTCATGTGGTTTCTCTTGGTCATTTTGGCAGCTTGTATGTCTCCAAGTTACTTTCATTTCCTCTGGTCTTATCTTTAGGTTTGTATTCAGCATATAACCCATATTGTCTCACATTTCGGTACCAAAATGAATGTAAATGACACAAAAAAGGCAGCGTGTCAAAATGTTTACTTTGGACAAAGTTTATTATTACGCCTTTATTACCACAACAATGCATGGTGTTCCGAGTGAAGTAAAGCTTTCCAGTTAATGTCAGTATAACGCTGTAGTGTTGATGGTATATTCTTTGCATGGGCGTGATTTCTGACATATCCAGCCTCTGCTGAGGAGCATTTGAAAAACCTTCTCTTGTCTCTTCACAGCAGGTGTCACGTCGCCCACTGTGTTAGCTTGTTCGGTTTTCTGAATTGTTGCAGAACAGAGTACCGAGAGTGGGGCTGCCTGTTTCCTTGCCGCACACTGTGTTTCTTTCTCTGCTGCAGGGAAGGAATGCTAAAGAGACCTTTATCCTTTGTTTTATTCTCTGTGACTCACACCCCATGTTGGCTCTTTGTGACGATGCAGTGCCTCAGTTTGTGTTGTAAATGGATAGGCTACTTTTTTTATTTACTTCTCCATAAGCATACATGCAAAATCCTTCCTCATAATTTTATAATCATCTGAAACTTTGTTTTCCAGTGGACTTACATGCATAATTAGTCTTTGTTTATTAATGCTTTATAACAGCATTGTAATTTTCACAAGACCTTTTAAGTACAAACAGCATTTATCTTCTGTTATAGAATTGATTTACAGCATTTAAAGGAAAGTTATACAGTATGCAGTGTGATTTAAACTATTTTTCAGCTGTTAAACTCTTTGACCATCAAAATAAAACCGTTAAGCTGCTCTTGCACAGTCCATCCATCCATAACAGTTATTGAGTTAGGGTCAACAGTCCATCACAGGCCTAATTTTAAACATTAACATAATATGCGTGCCTTTGGACTGTGGAAGAAAGCCAAAGCATCATTGAAGCACTACACAGAAAGGCTTTTGTTTGAACCTGCAGAATGCTTTGTGACAGTTATCACCACTACATCACACTTCATCAAATGAAGCAATGGAGATATTCTGTGGAAACTTTGGGTATAGCTCCTCACTATTTCTGGTTTAAATCCAAATAAGCATATAGAGTTTTTGAGAGCGAGAGAGGTGCAGAGATTCTTTAATCCTTTGTTTGCAATGTTGTTACAAACTAACCTGACTATCCTCTGCTGTATTGCCTCTCCTCCTGTCTTGCATCTCTTTTATTCCCATGGCTCATTCTTTGACTAATCTCATCCTCATACACACTGTACTGCTAGCTCCTTTCCAGTCTCTCATTGCATTGTTGCATTATTCCTTCTCCTCCCTCGTTAGCTCGTTATTCACTCTCCCACCCACTTTTCCAATTTCCTGACTCTCTAAAACATATTACTTACCCTGCTCTCTCTTCTCGTTATCCACCTCTTCACCTGCCCCTCATTCTTTGTCCTGCTCCTCCATGTTTCAGCTGTTCGGTCATGCTGAGATAAGGCTTTGTTCTCTGTTGCATTAGACCAGATTTTTGGAGGGTGAAACAAGAAGGAGTGAGACCCATGACCTCTGGCCCATCACCCTTTCACCCCCGTAGACCTCCAAACCCCCCCTGGTGTGAACTTAGGATGATTCCCACAGTGAAGGAATTTACTAAGTGGGAAATCAAATGACTGAACAGCCCTGCTAAAAACAGTGAACTCAACACGAACTCCACTGTCTAATATATAAAACATTATTCAGATATAAACAACTGCAAAACGTCGAATGCCTCTGGTTGCATTTGCTCATTTTTGATTCTTCCTACTTGCAGATTTATGGTATATTATCTAGATACACTATCGTGCTCTGCACTGTAAAGGAGTAAAAATATTTCCATGATTTGCCATAATATAGTCAGTTAAATTGTTTGACCTCTTTATGCCTGAAGGTGAAAATAACTGTGACAGTGGTGGTATTCGTGAGAGTTACAGCTTTAGAAGTCCTGAAATGTCAGACGACCCATAAAAGCATTGAATTCCATCATTCATCTGTTAAATTGCCCTTTTACAGTTTTGCCCCCTTGGGCATTGTGGCTACTAAGCAAATAGGTGAGAGCCCTCCACTGGAGAATCACTGCAGTGATTCTTATGTTTTGACTGGAAACAGGTTATTTAACCTTCAGTGATGCAGTGAGTAGTTTCTCATTGTAAGAAGACATGGACATGAACATTGTCATGGAAAATTTTTTACTGTGGCTTAGACGGGTCACGTTAGTGGCCTGCGTCAGATAAAAAAAACAACTTAAAGATGTTGCTGAAACTGCATGAATATAGGTTAAGAACTGTCCAATTTAATTTTTTTAATGATCGCAATTGGAGAAAATTTTGTGAGATTAAATCAGAAAATATCAGCAGTAAAGTCACAACTGTGTTTGAGTGTGAGCATTTTCACACATACAAAGGGAATAAACAGCTGTTTAGCCTTAAGAAAAGCACTTATCAGTCAGATTAATCAGAAAAAGGCTTCAGTTTGTCAGGGCACATTAAGATTCTACTCTGAAGGGATGGAAAAAGGTCACATGGGCAGATGAGTCCAGATTTACCCTTTTCCAGAGTGATGGGCACATTAGAGTATGACGAGAAGCAGATAATGCCTTGTGCCTGTCCTACAAGCCTGTAGGGGCAGGATTATGATCTGGCATTGTTCAGATCATAATCTAAAGTCTAATGTTATGGCCCCAAATAAACGGAGGTCAGAATACCTGAATATGGTATCACAGATGGCTTGGCCACAACAAAGTCTAGATTTTAACTCCACTGACAGTTTTGGGGATGTAGAAATATATGTTTTGACATTAGATAAGCTTATGGAAATGATGCTGGTGTGTATGCATGCATTGTCTACTTCTGATAGCTTCAAAACACAAAAGTCTCTGATACTGAGGCCTGGAGGTGGTTCAGTTGAGGTCCAAAAATGCTTTAAATTCTCTGGTACAAACTCTAAAGATCATACTTTGATGTTTTAAACTTAAGACATTTGGGATATCATTCAGGGCAAATATTTTGTTTATCTTGTCTTTCGCTACTAATAATTGTGTGGCCTTGTTCAAACTGATGCTAATCTGTGCTTGTCCCCTTCTGGCTTCTGCAGGGTGCTGAGGAGGATCAGGTTTGCCCGGTCATCATGTGCACGCGGGCCTATCCTGACCCCGTCCGTGAGTGCCAGCTGTTCCCAGAAGAGGTGGAGGAGCCTGAGGAGGAGGTGGCAGACGAAGGCAAGGAGAGGGAATCGGACAGAGACAGCGCTGTGGAAAGCACTCAGGGTTCGGAAACCTCAGACGGGCTCACCAGACTGGGAGACAAGGAAGACACGCTAGGGGATCTCTTTTTTCCCGGGGAGAAGTAAGCAGTCTTGGGTCATTTTTAACTTATGCCTTCTGTTTTTGTCACTGATTCCTGATCATTTCACTTTCAGGTTCATTCAGATGTCTTTTAGTTTGTTTCACAGACTTTGCTCTGTGTTGTTTCTTTGAGCTTGATGCTCCTGTTTTGTTATATTCTCTAAAATTCCTAAGTCTGACAGCCACTGCCAGTTCCTCTATTTAATGCATTTATTCTCATGAGAAATATAAGTTCTAGAGTCAAAGTAAAGTAGGATCTGTTACCATAAAAGTGCCATTATTTGCATTACTTGCATATGAAGCAGTTTTGTTTATTTGGATGCAGTTAGAGCTCCGGCAGCACTTGTAGCATATACAGAACGACTTTATTACTTGACCCCACTGGAGCTTTACCATCTTCAGACTATAATCTCTTCTCTGTGCACACTGGGAGAAGTGGATGAAGTTGAGCTAGAAACTTCTCCATTTCAATTTATATCAAAAATAAAGATAACTTCAGATTATGGAGCCAACATCTCCCTCTCTTTCTTCAGGTGCGGTCAGACCAGTATCTCTGTGACCTCTGACCTGTCAACACGTTCGTCGGCTTCTCTGTACGAGGAGCAGTTTGAAGACTACGGAGAAGGGGAGGAGCCGGACTACACTCCCAGCAGCCCTTGTCCGGACGACGAGGCTCGTACCAACGGTTATTCCGACCTTGGCTCATCTGTGCCCTCGAGGTGGGAGCGAGCTAAAGAAAAACATTGTTTTTCATGTTGGGGTACTCGTAACTATAAGACTACGTTCTACATTCATAACTATATTCAGTGTTAATGGTGATCCTCAATATAGTGAAAATCGTGACATTAAAAAACATACTTGTAGCTATTTTGTGGATTCGGGTGTTTTCAGTCCCACTGGGACAGGTATATGAGATCAAGCACCTGACCGTGGAGTCTGCCTTTGCAAACATTTGTGAAAGAATGGGTCGTTCTAAAGAGCTCTCTGAGGCATTTTGCTGTAACAGGAATCCACCATTGCTACAAGTTGGTTTGTGAAATTTCCTCCCTTCTACAGATTCCACAATCACTTGTAAGAGATATTTATTCAAAGCTGACACATTTAGGAACCACAGCAACTCGGCCACAAACTGGGAGACCACGTAAAGTTACAGAGCAAGGTCGCCAAGTGCTGAGGTGCATAGTGTTTAAAAGTCGCCAACGCTGTGCTGGCTCAATAGCTTAAGAGTTCCAAACCTCCTCTGGCATTAACATCAGCACAAATACTGTGTGCTGGGAGCTTCACGGCATTAGTTTTCATGACAGAGCAGTTCCTGTAGGTGTAACGTGTAGGTGACCCATTTCTTTTATTCATTGTAGTCTATTATTCATCAGGTCCCAGTTGAATCTTATTTCAACAATTGACTGCTTTTATATGGACAGTGTTGTTTTGGACATTCATTGTGGTGGAGTTGTCTGCTAAAAGACCCGACATGTTACAATATTGGTACTGCGGGTGCTGCACAGATCTTTGCAGCGCCAGATATGACAGCGCACTCTTGTATGACGCAGTGTCAAAGGTATGCAGCCAGGAACCAGTAATTTGGCTCACTTTTGTTCATGTTTGTGCTGTTGCTGGCTTTTTAGCTTAGACCCTGTTGTGGAAAGACAACAGTGAAAGTGAAGCAGCAGAGAAAGAAGCATTCCTTTTTCTTTATGTGTTTTATTTTCTATTTTTGATGGGGGTTTTTTCCACTCGTCTTTTTCGTCGTAGTGAAACCTGCCGTGGTTTCCTCTTTCCTGTTCTAGCCATCTTTTTAACCAACAAAATTCAGCTTGCGCGTAGCATGTGGCTCGTTGGCAACTTGATCTTGCTTTGTTTGAGAACCGTGTGCAAACTTGGGGTTGGTTGAATTCCTATAATCTCTGCTTTGCCTAAAATCTGTGGAAATGGGAACAAATGTGGAACCAGAAATCCTGCATCAGTCAAATGCTTGAACATTAAAACATCACAAACACGTGCTCCTGCCTGCATCATCAAAAGAAACTCTCTAGATCTGCAAACATTGAATTAAGTCATTTTATTTGAGCTTTCTTATACTAATTGCTGCACAAACTAAAGGGTTTACCAAAACGGTGATGACAAATTGTTAATTTTATGTCCTGATGTGTTTGACATAGAGTGATTCGAAAGAATTAACCCTCTGTAAGTGTCTCATTATTGCTATGATTCAGTTATTCTTACTAAATCACTTGGGGCAAAGGGAACCACAGACTGGGAGGGTGCAGTCTCTGTCCTATAATAGTACCAACTTCATATTATTCAGAGTTTTGACTGTAGCACTGTAGCTTAGGAGTTCTTGCCCTTAAGGCCACATTAATATTCATCAAAAGCCCGTGTTTAATGGGATTACGTCTCCCAGCTGAAAGACTGGCTTTACAGCACCATGCTCCTTTCACACATACCAAGCAGATAAAACTTATCAAATGGAGTTGGCAGGGAGATTTAAATTCAAAATGAGGCCCAGATTTACAAGAACTTTTAGACAGCTCAGCACAGCAAAGACATTTGAATAACCGTCTGCAAAAAGTACAATTTCTAGTTTCTAGTTAAGATATTGATCTTAAAGTTAAAAAAAAAAAGATGAAGATTAGAGGAATGCTTAAAACTTAATGTTGAACTGTTTTGACTTTTTTAGGAGTAACGAACACGATTTCACAAAGTTATTCCGAACTACATGAAGATTGTGCGGTTTATGTTCAGATCAGACCTTAAAAGTGATAATCCAGCAATAGATGGGCAACAATGTTGTTATTTTTTGTTTTCGTGAGAGGTTCAATTTAATTCAGTTTTACTTATATAGCTCCAAATAACAACAACAGTTGTCAAAATGCTTTATATTGTAAGGTAAATAACCTACAATAATCCAAATAATAACTAATGATTATATGTAAATAAGGTCCAGAGTGCATCATTCGCTATTTCTTGATAAATGGTCTGATTGGTTTCAGTAGCTGTGACTATGTTTCTGTGTATTTGTGTTGATAGTGCGGGTCAGACTCCTCGTAAGGTGCGTCACCATTACACCGGAGAAATGACGGATGTCTACTGTTCTCAGTGCAGTAAAAAGGTCAATCTGCTAAATGACCTGGATGCTCGCCTCAAAAACCTGAAAGCAAACAGGTAGGACACACATAACGCATACACACAGTGATGTCATCTTATAATTTAATAATTTCCAAAAATCCTTCGTAGTCTGCAATTTTCCCAGGCAGAGTACACATTTCCCACTAGCAGAAGCTTCGAAACAAGAGCACACATGCCTTGTTTCTTTGGAAATTAGAGTTATTTATCCTGGCAGGTAATTTGTCTAAACATAGAAGACAATAATTCATTTATACAAGAGACAGGAAGGATCCACCCTACTGTTACGTGAGAAGAAACAGATGCTGTCAGCTCGTAAGTGAACTATCCCGAATTTAAAGTGTATTCATCCACTCACATTGTATTGACCCAGGAGACACTGTTATCTGTGGCTCTTTTTCTTAAACTGTCATTTAATGTGAATGATCTCACATTGTTACAGAGTCTTAAATGATTCCTCGCCTGGTTTCACACATGACTGAACACATCATCTCTCCACATGCTCACACACAAACTCTAATTGATCGTTATGTAAGGCTGTCACTCCTGAGCTTACCTCACCGCCCATTGTAATAGGGAAACTATTATTAGAAACATAATCCGCAGTGACCATTAATAACTGTACAGTCCACCTGGAAACACAAATACACACATGCACAGGCATGCAGACGCACACTTTTTAGAAAATTCAACTAAGAAAAATGTCTAAGAGTACAATTTGAAACATGGATGTTGGACTCTATGGGGGTTAGTCCCTCGTAGATACTGCAATAGAGAAGGCTTAAACGATTTAAAGAATTACTTGTTTATATTCTTCTCCTATGGTCAGAGTTCATTAAGGGTTAACCGTTTAAGCACAACATAAAGTTGCTTAGACAATGTTTTATGTTTTGTAAACAGGCTCTTAAATTGTCACCCGGATAGTTTGTTCATTCGGTGTGTCAATCACCAAAGTTTAGCTGCCACGCTGGCGGGTAAATGTTTTTACCAAAATAGAAATGTAATAAAATCCAAAGCTGAAATTCTCGAATGCATTGTGAGACGTGCTGCTTCTGTTCCCTGTCGTCTGTGTCAGCGTTTGAAAAACACACCCACATCCACATACAGTTATTTTTCATGTTTTCGTGTATCCGACCCTGACAAGCACAAGCCAGTCGCAGGCAGAGTAGTGTTAGGTCTTCACAGAAGGGCTGTGTTAATAAAGGGGTATTAATTTAGAGACTGAGTTTGATGAGGTTCAGGATGGTAAAGAATTGAACAGGTTATCCAAACCTTCAGATTTTTGTCTGAGCTCTTATTATATTTAATAGCAAATACATTCAAGTAATTTAAGGCTGTAAAACATATGCTTGGATTGGTGAATGCGTTCATCTATTACCTGCTTATAATGCTAATTTGGGATTCTGTTTTATAAACAATGCTACAGATGATTGTTGTTTATTTTTCAATTTTGTACGTAAGAATGCTGGTAAATTACAGACTGAATGAGCTTTTAGATAAAGTCTCGTACTGTAACATATGTTTGCAATTTGTGTAGATAAAAAATATATAGGGAATAAATTTCAAACCTTTCACATGAATTTACATTTGTTTCTACTGAATGTAAAGTCATGGTAAATGGCCTGTATTTGTATAGCGCTTTACTTAGTCCCTATGGACCCCAAAGCGCTTTACACTACATTCAGTCATTCACCCATTCACACACACATTCACACACTGGTGTATCATGGGGGGAAAAATCTTCAAACCACTCTGTACAGTCCTGTGAAAAACTTATCATACCCTTACTTCTCCCACAGCACCTAAGAGGCAAAGTCACTGCCAGGCGCTGCTTATCAAACACACCTGATTAACTGATCACCAGGAAGTGTGAGCACCTCTGTAAAAGCAGAGGCTTTGGCACTTTGCTAGGCTGGTGCATTCAGGTCTGTGGCAGTGATGCATCTTAGTGACACAATTTTTGCTGCCCATCAATCTGAGAAGGATTTTAAAGCCATTTCCAAATCATGTCAAGTCCATTATTCTGAAAGGAGATGCATTCAAAACAGCTGCCATTCTTCCCAGGAGGGATAAATTCACCCCAAAATAAGAGGAATTGCAAAAAAATTTAAAAAAAAAAACCTTAGAGCTACATCTCAGACTCTGAATAAACCACAAACGCCTCAAAACAACTGCCAAGCACAGAGGTAGAGGGATGATGATCGGGGCTTGTTTTCCTTTTAAGAACTGGGCACCTTGGAGTCATGAGTTGGTGTGAGTTTAACTGAAACATTAGCTGTAAGGAAACAGTGCATCTTGTTCTTAAACTGTTAGCAAGGAGAAACTGTATGACATCATCACACATAAGCCCCATAGTCATACTGTAGAGACAACAGTGATCATTTTTTGCACAGAATAGGCTGTTTTTATAAAAATGGTCGAATTGCACTCTATTCTGCTGCGTTAACTTTGTTTATCCTCCAGCCTTGAAAGCCTAGTGTTTTGTGCCAGGACTTAATGATGATGTTCGCTTTATATCAGTGTCAGCTGTCAACTGGGTAACCCTGCAGTGTGTTTGCTCATTTTTATTAATCTAATGTGAATCCCAGGCACATCATACAGAAACTCTTTGGGCCTTTGTCCCCCCTCTAGAGCTGACAGAAAGCCCTGTTCACCAAGGACTAAAATAATATTAATAGTGACCTTCAGCGATCATTTTTCCAATGCTTCCTACTCTCTCTCGCACTAAATAGCTAAAATTAGTGGTTACATCCACTGTATTGTTGAGCTATGTGTCTGGACAGATGATGATGATTGACTGAAAAGAATCTGAAATCTTGTTCTTCTCCTTGTAGCCCCAACAGGAAAATCTCCAGCACTGCTTTTGGAAGGTAGGCTTTTCACCTTTGCATTTGTGTCCACATGCATGTGCTTCTGTACGTTACAGGCAAGGTCACTCAGTTGTCCTCTGCGTGTTTATGCATTATACAGCCCGCCCTACACGTGCTTGTTCGATCTTGTTGACATAGTGACGTACACAGAGCAAGATTATCAACTAGTGCTTCCTGATCTCTCAGCTGTCCTATCACTGCACACACTAAATAGGTTAATTTCTAACTAGTTATTCAAAGAATTATAGAGCCAAGAACACTGTACAAACTTTTGTTTTTTGTCTCAGAGCTGAGGAAATGAGTTTGACATCATCTTTTTTTAGTGGCAGGAGTGGCCCACTACATGGACTGTTGGTGTGTAGTGGGTGAGATGTTTTGTATCTAGGCTTTTGTCCTATTTTCAGCCACAGAAATTGAGTTATAGTGACAGAGTGAAAATGGCCTGTCGGGCCTGATCTATGTATTCAATATAAGGCTTGGCTGTCTCCCTGTTCTTCTTACTTTCTCCTCTGTCTGGTTTGATGGCTGCTTTCACTTTATGGCTCTCTTTAACTGTTCTTCTGCCCTTTCTCCTTTTTGTTTCCTCTCCTCTCTGTTGCTAATCTCAGTAATAGGCCAGCAGCTTGTTTTTCCCACGTTATTTCATCAGTTTACAATGGGGAAGCTAAAAACTACATTATGACATAAATATCACAGCCAGATGTACACACACCTGTGTGGGTGTGAGTGTGAGAATGCTCATGTTAATCCTGTTTGCAGCAGCTTCTTTTCTTTGGCACTGTAGTGTCCTATATCTGGGTTACCTTGCAGCAGCTTCGCTGCAGAAACATAAACACCCAGAACCGGTCATTGCCTGGACCTATTCCGAGCATATTCTCTAAGCTGTTTATCTGTTTGTTCGAGCAGGCAGCTGCTCCACAACAGCAACTTGAGCAGCAGTAACGGCAGCACAGAGGACCTTTTCCGAGACAGCATCGACTCCTGCGACACCGACATCAATGAGAAGGTATGACTTTATGTTTCCTTCTGTTAGTTTGCTCCATGTGGTGATTTGTATGACTGCGTTTTTTTTAAACAAAAGTCGATTCCTCATTGGATGTGATCATGTCAGATCTAGTATTTTCAGTGGAAGTGAAAAACTGAGATACTAAACACTCACCTCCAGCATGTTAAAAATGCTACAGCTTAATATGATACATTTACTAATTTCTGTCAGTTCTTACATTTGCAAACTTAAGTTAAAAAGAAAACATTATGAATCTGTTTTTAATTACAAACTTGCCCTGTTAACTTTATTACCTAATTTAGATGCATAGGATACATAGGATTGTAACATTTAATTTAGTTTCTGGTGTAATTTCACAGTTTGTTTTTCTCTCAGGTCACTTCTCTTGAGAAGAAGGTGGCAGAACTGGAGAATGAGATCCTGCTGAACAGTGACCTCAAGTCCAAACTGAAGCAGGAGAACACTCAGCTAGTGCACAGGTAGAGGACTTTGTTTCCCCTTTGCACTAGTCTTATCTTAACATAAGCATAAAATTATGTAACATGCATGTAATTTATACAGACACATCTCTTCACTGACAACACTATTTATGCTCATATATGCTATACTCGCTGTACATGCCAACATACTTAAAGTGCTGCTGTATATTTGCATTTGCACTTCTGTATATAGACTGTTCTCTTCCAGCTAACTGCATTTCACTGGCTTTGTACAATCCTCAGCACAGTCTCATTAAAGTTGAATCTAGTCTAATTTATAGCAGCACAAAAGAAAATGAAGGGCAGATAATTTGACTGAAATTACTCATGTAAAATTGCAGCAGCATTTAGTCATTTCCAAAGTAAGCTCGGTTTTTATGCTTTGCAACAAAAAAATAAATCATGTTGTCTGATGCGTTCATCATCCTCATCATCAGGGTTCATGAGCTGGAGGAGCAGCTGAAAGACCAAGAGACCCGGGCAGAGCAAAGTGTGCAGGAGGGCCTGAGACGCCACAGAGAGGCTTACAGCAAGCTGGAGAGAGACAGGAACACACAGATAGAGCTGCTGACCAACCGGTGAGAAACACACAGTTGCACAATTTGCTGAGCACATTTCCCAATTATTTGTGCATTATCTTTTTTTATGTAAATATGTGAAACTCATTATAGTTCAATAATAATCGGAGAGAATTAGACACCGACCATATCTTGGATAATGATGTTTATGTCCCTGCTCGCTTAAGAAAATAAATGCAAAATGGAGAACTAAATGCTTAACAGCTCTGAGAGTCCTCCCAGGGTTTTAGTCATCTGCCTCTGGACAGCTACAGCATGTATTTTACCCAAACCAGTGCCTTAGCTGACTGTGTGCCACACTATAGAAATGCACGCTGACATAAGGGATTTTGTGTCTGTAGAGTTAAGCAGCTGGAGGAGGAGAATAATGAGATGTCCCTTAACATGAACCGACTCAAGTCGCAGACAGAGAAGCTGGATGAGGTAAGTGTTGCTTACGTTTCTGGCTGTATTTCCTGTGTTGGTCATTTAACCTTTTAAAGCCAGATGTATTATAGTTGATACATGGGTCTTTGTGAGTTTTTGAGACTTTTACACCATCAGTATACTTTTTTTTTTTCTGAAAAACCAAAAGAAATTGCACAATGCATTTTTAATGAACAAATTGCAACAAAAAAAACCACCTTATGTGGAAAATATGATACATGTTAAAACTCATATTTGCAAATTATTATGTAATTTATTTTTTAAAACATTTTGTCAGAAGGTGCAGTAAACACTCTATTTTCCAAAAAATTATTTTTCTGCCATTTATTTCATGGCTTAGGCTTTAAAAGGTTAAGTAGTTGTCTGTCATCGGTTGTGTGTGTGTGAATCTCTGCAGTTTGGTGTCTGTTTCTCTTGCGAACGCGGCGGGTTTTCTCATTTCTATCCACGCCTGTGAGCACAGCGACAACTCCTTCAACATTCACAAAGCCAAAGAGAGACGCCAGTAATTATATCTGTGGAGATAGCGTCTTAGTTTTGAACCACACCTCATTTATGAACTTGTATCTATGCAAATGACACCAAACCCGACTCTAGCTTACAAAATGTTGTGCAAGCAATTTATCACAGAATATAAATGCAAACTTTATCTTGGTGCTAAAACTTGTTTGCTCAAAAGAAATGCACTCCCATGACCCTGAATACCAAACACACAGATAAATAAAGGAAAATAAAGTTCAAACTATAGCTGTGTGTATATATGGCTATCCTTAGGAGAAGCAAAGGATGACAGATAAGCTGGAGGATACCAGCCTGCGCCTGAAGGATGAGATGGATCTTTACAAGAAAATGATGGACAAACTGAAACAAAATAGACATCAGTTCCAGAAAGAAAAGGATGCCATGCAGGAGGTAGGAGGAAGTATTTTATGTAACCAGACACACACAGCAAGGTGTGATTGTTTGTTATGTTGCTCATTCAGTTTCTCTGTAACCAGTCTCTCGCAGCATTTATGTCAACTCATACACTTACACCTACAATATGCTGCCTCTGCACATTATATAACGTTTTTCATTCGTTCTTTCTGTGCTGCATAGCTGATAGAGGACCTGCGTCGAGAGCTGGAACACTTGCAGGTCTTCAAGCTGGATGCAGAGAGGTCAGGCCGGAGGCCAAGCTCCTCCACGGGGCTCTCAGACTTCAACAACAGGAGCAGGGAGGTGGAGCTAGAGCATGAAGTCAAGAGGCTCAAACAGGTACTGATGAAATGCTCTGTTGGGCATAGGCAGTTCAGCGAGTATTGTTGCTAATGAATGTGCTTTAAGACTGTTTGTTATGAATAATGAACAATAAGAATATGAAACAGTGTTTAAAACTTTCTACAATCCTTCAGTCAATGTATGTAAGCAATCTAAGGATTTTCAAAAATATCTAAATGCTGTTTTGATTTGATCGTATGACAGAAATGAGGAGTTTCTGCTTTTTGAAATGTGTTTACGTGGAGCTTTTCATGCATGTGGAGGTGGTAGATGCACAGAAGTAAGAAGTACAGATTAAGCTGCCACAGACTGAATGTAACGTAATGTATGAATATATATTTACAGATTATTCATGTTTCATTTGATTAGAGTAGCAGTTCATGTACCCTGGCTTCTTAGACTTGATTGATTCAGCGTTGAATGTGAATATTTTTGACTGATTTTATAAGTTATTGGCTCATATGTATATGTTTCCACTGTCTATCACGCTGAATGATGCATTCAGTACAGTAATCGCCCCTAGAAATAGAAATTCAGCTCAAAAAAATACACTGTTATCACATACAGTTTTACAACTTTTCATGAGCACCTTTTGTATTTTAACTTTTTCTGAAGTACACCTCCACAACGTTTAACACAGCTAACTGGCTGCCAGAGGAACATAAACCTTTCTGCTTGTGTAAATGAAGCTGTTTTTGTGGCTACAACCAAAAGATGAAAATTGAGCATATAGTGTCACAGACTACATTCAGCCAGAATACATTGTTGTGCATTAGAACTGCTGTGATCCCCCGATGTACTGTGCCGATCTTTTAACCATTAAAGAGAAGTTCAGCATTGCTAAATGCCGTGCCAGCTGCAGAGGATATGTGATCTTTATCTTTTCCTTAAGATCTGTTTGTCTGACATTTTGCCTGCTACAGTTACAAGGCAGATCTTATTGTTGCAGTCCTGTTAAGTGGCCAGACCTGGTGTAAAGCAAACATTAGAGATAAGCAAGTAGATGAAAGTGTTTTTCAGATGTCCTCTCAGATAAGATGCATAAAAGCAGTTGTGCAGAAGCTTTTGTGTGACTTTTTATCACGAGTTCATATGCATTAGAAATGTCGCTTTGATGTTCCTAAGCCAGACAAAGGCACCATAAAAATCTGGAGTTATCAAACCCACGTGGCCTTGAGGTAACTTTTAAATGGCACAGCCGGCCAGAACTGCTGATTCATTCAGTGTCCGTTTTATCAGTGACTTAACATGATACGGTCCATGTCCTCCTGGCTTCGAGCCAAACTTGTCACACCTTGCAAGCAAGCAAGTAAAGGAGTAATAGCAGTAGTTTCATTCTGCCTTTGTGTCCTGTCTTTCTCTAAATCTGCTCCTCCCAGCAGAGTTACCAGCATGTCTTTTGAATTCGGACAAGTAATAAAACTGTCTGTGTTTTATATCTGATGGATCACGGCCTCTGTTCACCCACAAGAAGGATGAATTCACTCTCTTATGCTTGCCTGTGCACCTTTTTGTAAATGTCTGTGTGTGTGTGTCCAGCGATTTGTGTCCCAGGACTTTCTTCCCCCTGAATACCAGCACCTGGTGTTGACTGGGGCTCGGCTCCGTCCCGGTATGATGGTAAAAATTGCCTCCGTGACCTCTGACCTACCGATTAACCACTAATCACGACAATGGAGTAGAGTGAAGTTGTCCATGCTGACCGGGCGCTGCAGTTCCCTCACTAATGTTTAAGGATAGACTTAAGGGAAACGCAAACTGACCTTTCGTCAGCAGTTTAAGGCAACTTGATCGTGGAGCTTTCATAACACACCAGAAAAAGCAGGGAAGAGTTTGTTCTGTAACACGCATAACCCATGTTACATCTTGTAGGTGCTGCAAACATAGACGTGCATTGCTGAGTTTGCTGCTACCAACCGCAGTGCTTTGTCAAATGGGTTGAGTGTGGCTTGAGTAGTGGTCTTTTCTTTTTTTAAAAAAAGTCATTTTAGTGCACTTTTATGGCCTAGGAACTTATCTTGTCCTTTCTCGCTCTCTGTCCTCCACCTCCTCCCCTGATTTTGCATTTTAGGAGAACCAGAAGCTTAGAGAGCAGAACGAGGACCTGAACGGTCAGATCATCAGCCTCAGCCTGCATGAAGCCAAGAATCTGTTTGCCACACAGACCAAGGCTCAGTCTCTAGCTGCTGAGATCGATAATGCCTCCAGAGACCAGGTAAAATCAGTTATGCAGACTTGTAACAAAGAACATGAACACCCCTGCGGCTACAATGTGATTTTTTTTTTTTAAATATTCTGAGTCTTACTGACAGCATCCAGACAGGGTTTTATCTCAGTGCTTACAGGTTCCTTAGTTACAGTGAGAAATAGCTGTTTTTCAGGCCATATCACAGCAGTACGATGTTACGCATCTACCTCTGTTTTACAATTAAATCTATATCTGCATAATGAGGAGAGCATTACTATGAGTTATCATATTTCTGTGCAGTTTTTAAAATGTTATTTTCATTCCTTGTTTTCAGAGGAGTTCAGTGCATTAGTTAGATTTTTTTCAACATTGGCATTACTTTTTTGGTTGGTTGGTTAAAAGTTTTATTTTTTCTAAAATTATAATACAGTCAACAGCCACTTTATTAGGTACACCTTGCTAGTGACATTGAAATTGCCTCGATTCTTCGTGGCACAGATTCAACAAGGTGACAGAAACATTCCTCAGATTTTGGTCCATGTTGAAATGATAGCATCACAAAGCTGATGCAGGTTTTTTGCTACATCAAAAAGTTGCCCTAATGGATGCAGATGTGGTAACTGTGCTGGCCATTTGAGTACAGTGAGCTCATTGTCATGTAACTGAATCATAGTAACATTTTTTTTTCTAATGAATAACATGTATTGTACATATTTCTCCCTAGTTAATGGAAGCCCTGAAGGAGCAAGAGGAGATCAATTTACGTCTGCGGCAGTACATGGACAAAATAATCCTGAACATCCTGGACCACAACCCCTCCATTCTAGAGATAAAGAACTAGCAGCGACTCAACTGGAATGAGCAGCGTTCCTGATCTTGGGAGAGTGAGGATCATTCCAGTTGTCTGATCAGAGCAGGGTGACCTGAATCGGGGGGAAAGTGTACAGAAAAACAGAGCCAGTCTTACGTAAACAGACATGCATCGCCCCCTGCTGTTTGTGCCAAGAAGAGCGTCTCTTCAGGATGGTAGAAGGGGATTCTGTGTTGAACAAAAGGGAGTTTTCTCAGCCAGTGATTGTTCACTGACTGGTTATGCTACTGTGACTGTTCTACTCATTTGATCACATTTTTATTCTGTCTATGCTGTGAGCTGGAGTTGAAGTCACAAGATTGATCTCTTGTGAAAACTCCAGGAATATTCAGTGTCCAACGTGCTTTGAAGATTCACTTGATTTAGTACACTGGACACAAAAACTGGAGGGAAAAAAAAAAGAAAATGTAAACAGCTTTATCCTGAAGCTGTTTGGCATGGCGTAGAGAGGCACAATAAGACAGTAGAGCAACATGACAAGCAGACTTTAAATCCAGAGTGAGACAGGCCAGGCCACTGTTGCCAGTCTCTGAGTGCGTGTGATGACATATTTGGACAAGTATGTGCTGAAAGAAGGTCGAGAAGCGAGGCACAAGCGGTCAGAGAGAGAAAAAGAGTGATGCCCACATTATAAATTGAAGACGATGAATTAAGGAAGAGCGTTGACCCTAAACAGGTGGGGATGTTACATGATAGGCCAGGTATGCTACCAAAAGAGGCTTTTTGTGAAGTCGATGAAGGTACACTGAAAGTGAAATTTCGTTTTTCGTTCACTCTTGCGCACGTCTTCCACGAAACCACACTTCGTACGTCAATCAGTCCTAAAGCGGTGAACAGTTTTCACTGAGAAGTGGCCCTTAGTTGGTACAGACGAGTCGCTGAGTGTCGCGTTATGGCGCCGAAGCTGCAACCAAGGAGTGTCTTCAAACTGTAACTTCCATGGCTGCTATTTGCTAGCTAAACTTGAGCTTGATAAAAAGTCACTGTTGCTTTGCAATAGACCCCAAATGATGTTGCACAGAAATATAAAGATGTGAATGTACAGCGTGAGGTGGAGTGACTGGTAGCCATTGTAACGTGGTTTACCAAGTTGTCTTTTCATGTTCAGTGACTTGGATACCGGATGTGAGCGTGCACAGGAGACTCACTTTTTGGTACAAAAGACTTGATTTGTCACATTTGCACCTACAGCAGGTTGCAGATTGTAGTTTAAGCCCCAATGACTCTGAAGCCCTCTTAAACTGTAAATATCACGAATGTACGATTCCTAATTAACTTTCTGTGTGGCCAAAAAAGCAGTTTTCCATTGAAACTGGTTAATACATTTGGCAACATGTGTACAGTATTTAGTACTGTTATATGGAGGGCATTGTTTTCAGAGGGGAAACAATTACAATCTCATGTATTATGTAATTATTCAAAACTTGAGTTTTGCTTCCTTGCACAAAAAAAGGTTTTGTTTCCTTTTGCATGGTCACATTTACTTCTGTCTGTGCCTTTTGAGGACATTTTTCGAGATAATCTCGCTATAGATTTACGCTGTTTTTTGGAAAGTGCGTTTTCTGTCTATGTATGACATTTTCATGACTTGTAAATGTTGTAATTATCTAGTGATAATTTGTATTTTATGTGCCACTCACCAATCTTTTTTCAGATTGATACTGAGAAAACACTTTTATACAGATTAATCAAGAAACTAATTGTTGTTGCTTAGCTGTCCTGTTTGCAGTATAGCACAAGACTGTGACGTATGCAAGCCAGTTTATCTTCTTTTCTTTCCTTTTTTTATATAAACAGAGTGAGCAATGATTTTTGAGGTTTTTTTTCAAGGTTTTTGTTAGATTCAGTAAGTCCACTGATTTTCAATCAGCTTCAAAGTGGATTTTTATATATGGTTGTTTACTGTCTTCCTAACTTAAACGGTGACTATTATGAGCAATATTAACTTATTACCAGTACCTGCTGATCTGTGTCCTGTTTTGCATCTTAAATCTTTTCACTTTTAATCCACTTATGCCATTCTTCAAGTAAAAAAACAAAAATTCAAGACACACTGAGCTGTAAAAACTGTCACAAACTCATGGCTTTTAGCTTTCTGTTATTAGGACGATCCGATTGGATGCAGTCATCTTAAATAGCAATAAAAAATGGCTTTGGCAGTGATGTTGTCTCATGAAATTTCTGTTATTTTCATTTGAATTCAGCTATAGTTTCTAAAACATAAACATTGTGCCTAAAGTGTATGCTGCTGCTGTCTTAGCTGCCATTATGTACTTTGCTGTAAATAAAAGTGTTTGCGCTGGCATGAAAATAGTCATGTCGCCAAATGAGAATGTTTTAACTTTAATGTTTTATTTTATGTGTTTGTGTGTATTGTGTATTCTCATATGGGAAATCTTAAAACGCAAGATTTACAACCTTTTGTAAAAGGGCAGCACTGCACTGTTTAGTTATGTATGGTCAATACCCATGTAGGCCCAGGCATTGAGGGAAAAAAACAAACCAAAAATAATTATTAAATAAATCTTCCTTGCAACATTATTTTGGAGCAACGACAGAAAAAACATTTCTATCTGATTTGACTGTGACTGGTGCTTTTATACATGTAGTTTTACCTAATTTGACTAATTACATTACAGTTAATTTAGGTGTTATTAGAGATTTTGCGGATTATAAATGCCAGTTATTGTTTTATGTATTTATTTCATTCATTTATTTATTTTTATACATTAGTTTTATTTTTAGATTTTATTCTTTATCTTCTTTCATTTATATATATATTTGTACCTGCTCTCGGAGCAGTATTTGTGTACTCTGGCGCCTCCTATCGGCGAACTGCGCAGCTTCATTTGATCAGCTGGGTGCTGCACGCGGCTGGTGTGCCCGACACAGCGGTGCAGGTAAGAGTTAAATTAAAATTAAGCATAATGTGAGTGATGTTTTAAGGTAAACTTGCATGTGAACGCATAACTTGGTGCTTTCCGTGTATGTTATCTGCTCCCTGTTGTTTTCTTCCCACAGGAAGCTCACAAACTTTTAGCAGCCGGCATGACGATAGCTGTTGATAACGGCGCTAAAGTTGTTAGCCCGCTAACAGAAAACAGGGCGCCTACATTCACTGGGGTTAAAAGAGCACAAAGCTAGCTAAGTGTCAGTATGTTTGGTTATTGTTAAGGTAAAATTGTTTACGATTTAAATTATTTATTGTTTAGTTTTTTTTATTAATACCAATGAAAATAACTATTTAACAGAAAAAAGTAAGAAAGGTGTTGACTGAAAAGGTTTAGGCTGAAAGTTTAGCTTAATGGACCGCCATTGTTTTCTATAGAGACACACCAACTAAATTTCACCAAAAACAATCATTAGTCAGTATATGCACTAGACAAAAAATGAATTGCACAGTTTTAAGTCCTCATTAAAACCATTCCCCAAGTTTAGACTTTTTATATAGTACTGTGGTTGGTTAGTACTCAAAAGCTTTGAGCCACCCCATCTTTTTTTTGGTATTGTAAAAGGAAAAATACGGAGCCCCGCAGGGGACATGGGAGGAAAAAAAAATTAAGACGGACTTGCGAGATCTCGCAAAACAAACTCGGGATCTCGCAAAAGTTTTAGCCGCATTCTTCCCGTTAGCTCGAAGCTAACGGGAGGTCGAGACCTACTACAGCCGGGTGGAACACCGCTTTCCCGGCACATCGTGCCTCGACCTCCCGGTTGGCTTCGAGCCGGCGTCCGAAGAATGCGGCTAAAAGATTAACTTATTGATATTATTGGCTAAATTTCATATACATAAGTCGAAATTTTCTAACGCAAAACCATCCTTTCGGTGCTTTTTAAATGAAACCAAACAATATGTTAAAACCATACAACATTCTCAAAATCAAAAAGCTGTCAAAACCGTAAACCTATGTTCCCTGTTCAATATTATGTGATTCTATAATAGACTGTGTCTATTTTGCTTTTTTATACGAACCCCCTGACATTGTGTTTGCTATTTTGTATTTGTATATTTGTATTTTGTGCTTTGTCAATTAAAAAAAAAAAAAAAAATGCGGCTAAAAGTTTTGCGAGATCTCAGAAAAGTCCGTCTTAATTTTTTTTTCTCCCATGTCCCCTGCGGGGCTCCGTAGAAAAGGAATGAGATGGGTGCAGAGATGTATTGAGCATGTGCAAACATAAATGGAAAAAACAGTATAAGAAGCAAAAACAGGCTTTTTACAATTAATGAAAGTCAATAATGGTATGGATGTCTCTTTTAGACAGATTTTCTTGTAATTTCTTTAAGTGGTCTTCAGGAGTAGTTTTCCAGGCATCCTGAAGGACATCCAAAAGCTTTTGTTCCCTCCTCTGATAAATTGATCGCACATTGTTTCAATACTGTTGAGGTCCAAGCTCTGGGAAGGCCAATCCATGACAGATACTGTTTCACTGTGGGTGGGGGGGGGGGAGTTTTAGTTCCATGTGGCGTTTACTTCATTGGCAGTGTGTTTGGGATTATTGTCATGCTGAAAAATGAAGCTACTGCTAATCAGACGATATCCAGATTTGTCAGCTCAAAGCTGCCTATTCACACTAAAAGTAAATTTTGTGAATCAGCCTTTAATACAGGAAATATGTTTAGAAACGTCACTAAAACCAACAGTCCTTAGTATAAAGGGAAGGAGACTTGTCAGTAATTTACATTTGAAAGTATTGTGTTCTCAGTGTCAGTCACTGTAAGAATTAGATAATCTCTTTGATATGTAAATAACCTGAGGTCTGTTGGTGCCGTTAATGACATGTTTTCATTATTAACTAAAGTCTCTAAAGAAGTCCAAGTATAACATTTGGGTCACTTTTGGTCTAATCACACTCAACTGACACAAATCATCTAAGAAATTCAGCCAATCTCTTCCATCTGTTTCACAGGTGAAGCGATGCCTCAGGTTTGTATGAACTTTGAGCCTAACAGAAGGGGAACCTATCACAACAGCCGTAAAACCAATGATCTGATCAACAACACAGGTTTGGTTAATGGAGCAGTTGTTTACAATGGATGCTCAGCTTCTGCCAGCAGAATCAGTAGGAGCACACCAGCTGGCACACAGCATGGTCCTAAACCCACATACAGGATTAACGATTATTTTAACTATGGCTACAAAGGCAAGAGTACAAAAGCAGCACCCTCAGGGACCCTCAAGAAACAAGGATGCAAAATTCCAGCTCTCTGTGATGCCCCAGCATGTGATGGAAACGGCAGTGAAGATCTCCTGAGTGGTAACTCAGCCAAAGTTAGTGCTCCGCCCAGTAACATTGACCAAAAGGTACCAGATCCCAGCCTATCGGCGTCAGGGAAGAAGAAAAGGTGGAGGAGATCGAGACACAAGAAGAGGTGCATCACTTATCTTAATCTTAAAGTTCTCAAGTCCAGCCTATATATAGCTATATGTGTTGATTCTACTTAAAATCAACACGTTTTTTTAATGGTTTTGCAGTGGACCATTAATAACAGCCCTAGAGTAGCAAGATTTACTACTGCAGAGGCCCTGAGACAGATAAGTAATACATAATGCTCAGCTGATGGAGATGAGTCAAGTTTACTCCCTTCTGCATAAAAACAAATACAAACATTTGTGAAAGAATGGGTTGTTCTAAAGACCTCATTAAATCTGAGTGGGGTACTGTAATAGGATGCCACTTTTGTAATAAATCAGTTAAGTTTGTGAAGTTCTTCCCTCATAAATTACGAACCATTGCAACTCAGCCCTGAAGTAGAGAACAAGGTGCATAAAAGTCAACTGTAAAGTTTGATGGAGGAGGGATAATGCTATGGGGTTGTTCTTTAGGGTTAGCCAGGGTCCTTTACTTCAAGCAAGGGGGGTTCTCAATTCTATGCTTCCAGATTTATGGGAACAGCCTAGGGAATGCCATTCCAGTGGGACTGTGCACAGAGCGAGGGGGATTCAGATGTGTCCATAGATTGAATATGTGAAATTATAAAAGCTCCTGTAGTGCATACAATTTCACACTATAATTTTGTATTGGAAACAGTCATTAAAAGTATTCCTGTACAAAAATTATACTCATGAAGTAGAAGAATAAATGCTTTCAGTCCCAACTTGAGTGAAGTTTCAGATGAGACGACAGAAAATTGAATGCTTTAGTTATTATTTTAGATAACTGCTTATCTTGCTGTGAGTAACATGTGAGAGTAATATCAATATTCTTGTGCATATCTGTCTCTTAAATCTCCAGCCAGCACAGTATGAACACTAAAAACATAATAGTTAGGCTCAAATCTGTCTGTAGATTTACACACAGAGACTTAAGGGATATCATTGTGTCCAGGTAAAAAGCATAAATCATTGTGAATCCATTTCACTTGTTTCGGTGCAAATTAAAGTGATAACAGATGCATCGGAGCGACATAAACATGTACATGAGCAGCCCGCTGGAGGTTAATTCTTTGCACAAAGGAGCAGATAACCGTCCTGCTGCCCTTCTATCACCCTGACCAGCTGCTCTTGTATAAACAGCCCATCTTCCCATAACCCTTTAATGCTTGAGACTGAGAGGAGAGATGCATCAAAGCTTCTTCTGGATGTGAAGAATGAGTTGTGCATATTGTACTGAATTATTATATTCAGTGAAAACGTATGGGAATGGTAAATTATTTTTTTCATCTCATTCACATAATGACAGCATGAATTAAAGCATAAAAATACTCTATAATACTCATAAATATAACTTTATTTGTATAGCATTTTTTTTTAAAGCACACAGTTACAGTAATTCCAACATTAATGGTTTTATGCACACATCAGATGTAAACTGTGGCGAAAAATACTGCCACTAACAACCAGAAATGTATTTTAAATATGTAATTAATTTCCCTTCCCTCTGATTATGGAACACTTTAATTCAGCGGTCCCCAACCCTCGGACCGGTACCGGGCCGCGAGAGTTGAGGCTCAGGTGTGAAATGTATAGTTTTCAGGGTTTTTATCGGTTTTCAGCGTTATTTCGTTATCGTTTTTATCGTTTACTCGGTTTTCCTTGGTCTTTTCGCATGTGTTATGAATAAATTTTCTTTTTTTTCGGTACCAGTACTAGTTTTAGTTTGTTGTATTTATCCGCGACACCTTAAAGGCCGGTCCGTGAAAATATTGTCGGGCATAAACCGGTCCGTGGCGCAAAAAAGGTTGGGGACCGCTGCTTTAGTTAACATGAGCCCTCTTGCAGAGACAAAGAAGTCGTCTACCCGGAAATTCTTTCACCCGCACCCATAGAAGCGGAGGAAGACTGGGGAAAAGAGATCCAGGAGGGCACACGCTCTGACTGGAAAAACATGTGTTTTGGGGTCAGACCTTATGGTAAAGAAAAAAACATTTTCATGACATCTACTCTCTTTACAGTACTGAATTTAAATGTCTTAGTTATTATATACATGCATATGTAATAAGTTATAAATTTATGTTGCTGTAAGGTTGATTACTGAATATATCTTCACCACTGAGGTCAAACAAGGAAATTTTAAAGTTTACCTGATGTGTATTAATAGTAGTAGTAGTAGTCATTACCTTTTCTGTCATAAAGGAAAACTGCTGAAACGAAAGTCCTTAGAGAAGCGAGTCTTGCCACACAGAGCCACTTTGAAATGGCTCATTGCAGTTATAAAGTGTTATCTACATTTCCTTTCATTTAAAATGGTCAAATGTGCATAAAAGTGCCAGGATATATACTAAATTAAAAATGAATATTAGAAACAGCAAGTTTCAGTCCTTCAGCATCCTGTTTTCATTGAAGCTGATGTTACTGTAGGTGTCAGTACTACTTTTAGGATTCAGGCCATGATGTGTGTTGCTGCCTGTTTCAGGTCCAGAAGACGTCCTCCGTTTTGCTTTGCAGGACCTGACACTGAAGCAAAGGGACACAGCGGCCCTGCCCGTGTCAGCCAGTTACACACCAGCGGTGCACCACCCACACCCCCTGATATGGTCCCGTCACATCATTCCCACTGAGCCAGACCAATTCGCAGACGCTGACTAGTAAGCTGGGCGTATGCCTATATGTTAGAATAATGGTTGATATGAGAATTAACAACATCTGTTTCTAAAATATTTGTTTCATTCTCATTTGGTTTAGTGGAAAACATTAAATTTTACTTTATTGGTAAAAGATTGTGCGGTGGAGTCTAGGTTACCATCTGGTTGTTTTTTATTGTAGGTTCTATTTTATATTTAAAATTCAGGTTTTATATTTGTTTTATATTACAACAAAATACTTTGGATTTTGTGATCTTAAAGGTTGGTTTTATTTCAACTACTACTTTTAGTTTCATTGCTGCAGTTAGTGCTGTTTCTCACACAGGTCATGCATTTCCTGTTTCGTTTTCATCTTATATTTCCATTCTTTTTCTTGTCTGTGCTAAAAGAGCAAAATACTAGTTTTAACTGTTTCTTTGTGTTTTAAAATGCCTGAAGTTAATACCATGTTGTTATGAGTTGCTCATTTGAGCTGAAAGATCTGTTTAATCTGTTTATAAACACCCCCTGTTCACAGCAAGTACATGAAGTAACTATTTTATTTTGACACTCATGGAATAGTCGATTTAACCAAGAAAGTATGGTTTGATTATGTAATACGAAAGTGATTTTCTGGTTGTTCATATCATTTTTATTACCATAATAAATCACATTTTCTTCTAACTTGTGCTTAAACCCTGCATTTTTTCATCGCCACTGTCAAAAAATGTTATTAAACAAGAAGGCCCACCTTCTTTTCACCATTTAACCACAAACAAATGGATTTGAAACCTTACCATCTGTTGCTACTTAACGGCTCTTTAGAAGCAATAATGGCTTCTGGCCACTAGATGGCAGAGTGGATATAAGATTTTGCATTCTGCTAGTTATTTCCATACACCTCAGGGAGTTCAATGGGTTCATTCCCAAGGACTTGAGAGACAGAGGCATTTACTTGCATAGTGCTCAGCCCATTTCTCCCTGGTGTTGAATTCAGAATGTAATAAGACACTGAGCTGATTACTGCCATTTAGTTGTACTAAATATGTTTACAGATATTTTTATAATCAAATGGGTCCATTTAAAATGTTTTAATATGAAGTAGCAATTAGTAACAATTTTCATAATGCTTTTTTTCTTTAAACACAATAGTAGATCTGAAATGAATCAATCAAAACCTGTTCAAGTGCAGATTTTCAGCTCTAATTCAAGCAGCTGAACAGAAATACTGCCTCAGGTGTTGAGGAATTACCACCATCTATACCCCGTCCCCTATTTTCGGGGACTCAAATGTATTTAGACAAATTAACTTAACAAATATTTTAGATTTCTTTGTTGAGGATCCTTCACAAGCAGTGACTGCCTGAAATTTGGAATTCATAAACATGACCAAGTAATAGGTTTCCTCCTTTGTGATCCTTTGCCAAACCTATACTGAGGCTGTCTTCAGTGTTTGTTTGAAGGATTTTAGGCCATTATGTTTGCTTTAAGCGAGTGGAATGCTGTTCTGTCAGGTTCAGATCAGACCAAATAACAGGTTTCCTCCTTTGTGATGCTTTGCCAGACCTATACAGTGACTGTGTTCAGATGTTGTTTGAGGAGCTTTAGGCTCTTTATGTTTCCACTCAAAGCATTCTGTCAGGGACAGATCAGGTAATTGATTGCAGAATAATCCACTTCCTGAAGTTTAAAATGTCCTGGGTTGCTTTCACTGTATATTTAGTTTCATTGTACATTGTCTGTCTAGTAAACTTTGCTACATTTGTCTGAATTTTACCAGCAGTTATATCCCTAAACACAGAATTCATCCTGTGTCTTCTGTGTTTTAGTGACCCAGTGAAAGGCATACATGACCATGCATCACACTGCCTCTAGTGTGTGTTACAGAGTATGTGTCAGATCATGAGCTGTTAAAAGCATACTCCATACTTTACTCTGGTACGGGCAGATCTTAGCTTCCTCTCTTACAGATATTGTTGGATAAATGGCCTTTAATTTTTTGGTTGTTTGTTCTGCAAAATTGCAGATCTGGCATTGCTGTTCAAAAACCTGAGGAGTGGTTTAAATCTTGTAGTGTTTGAAGCCTTCCCTTTATCTCTTTGTGTTATGTTGTTCAGCAGAGGATGAAACTTGTGAATTTTTTTTCCCATGGAAAGGATCCTGCGATCATCCTCATATTTGTCTTCCATAAACAATCAGACTTTATTATGTTGCGATGTGCGAAGCTCATGTGAGCTCTTAATTTTTGTACCTGAATTATTTCTATTGTTTCTCCACATTTTCTCCATGATCTTTTTGGTGGTTTTGAGTTCTTTTGTTTTGTTTTTTTTGTTTTTGTTTTTTTACATTCTGAGGATGGCTATTCGACTTGCCTTTTATCTGCCTAATTGATTAAAAAATACAATAAAAATCTCCTTGCCTGTTGATAAACAGCTTTTGAATAAATAGTCCATTACATTTGACCACTTAAAATAGAACACTAATAAACACTAATAAAGTAAATATCAAAAAAAATAATAACATAATCTTTTTTAACCCCTTGAATTAAAGCTCAAATTCCATAGTTCAGTAACATCATGCCAAGTTCTGCCGAAACATTTCAATACTTTACAGCATGTTATTGCTGACGGAGACTGACCAGTCATTGAGCACAACCTAAATACCAATGAAATGGTCATAAAAGTTTCAGACAGTGTCGAAAATGGGAGAAAGGTGGCCTCAAGTTCTTCAAAATATAGAGATGATTCAGTCTGGATGTGTCACTGTTTCAAAGGTTATTGTGTTCCATGTCTCAACAGAACGGAAAAATTTGCACGTTGTCTCCGTGTCTGTGTAGGTCTACTGGGGACTGTTTGTTTGCTACCCAGGGTTTGTGGCATAGGTTAGATTATTTACTTTAAATTATTTAGTTTTATCATAGATATTTTTAGTTTTAGGGTTTTTTTTGTTTTTATTATAGATATATTATTTATTTTATTTTGTAAATCTGTGAGCTAATGCAGATGTTTTTCTCACCGCGTCCCTATGATGGCCTCATAATAGCCCTAGAAACTGCTCGAATAGCTTGTAGCCTGCACACACCTGAACAGGATTAAGCGATACAAATTGGATGGATGATTTCCTGATTGTTCATTTTAATCTGTGCTTGTCTCCATCTGTTTGAAGCATTCGTTTCCAGGAAGCTGACCCATTCTGAAAGTCATTTTTAATTTACTGTAGCGATCATCACTCTTCGTAAACTTGGCTAACCCTACAGTGAAAATCCCCTGCGAAGCAGAATTCACATATGTTATTTGTTTGATCATAGACAGTTGATAAACACTTGTGGTCACGAATAGCTGCCTTCTGCAAAAAGAATCCAAAAATCCCAAAACGAACTTGGTGTCACTTTGACAAGATGCTCCTTTTGACATGAAATATGTCACTTTCACTGACTTTACATATGATCTTCTTTTCTAAAAATGTGTTTCTACATTCAAAGTCAACCTAAACGTGCTGGGTCTGTACCCTAAGACATCTGTTACTCATAGTCGTGGTGCTCACTTTTAGCTCTGAGGTGCTGCTTCACATTTGTAACCACCATTTGGCTTTCAAGGGATTTCCCTGAATGCTGAAGTAAGCTGTAATAGTTTTGCATTACCATTTTGAGGGGGTGGCGATGGGAGCTCTAATGTTAAGAAATGGCATGTCTGATAACATGTTGTAATCTCTATGAGGGAGTAATACTTCTATATGTCCCAGTGGACCCTTTACCACATCCTGTATTTGGACAAATAAGTAGATACAAAGAACCAGCCCTGCCCTGCTTGCCCTCCTACGTCCTCATTGTTGTTCATAATTCATCTGTTTTCATTGTTTTCCTTCCTAGAGTTCATCTTTCAATTGAAACAAATTAGATTGACGTTCAAACACTGCACTCGCAGTTCACTAGCCAGCTCACAATATGGGATAATGATGAATTCTTGCCAGATATCCTCTAATTGTTGTAAAAATGTTCTCATGCTGACATGACTCTGGGAAATCAGCCTGAGGTCTTAACAGCTACATTTCTCATATGTGAATCACCCCCCAGTTATTTCATCTGGATCCGGTGTGACCAGTAATTTAGCATTCATCGTCTTTATTGATCTGGCAACATAATGGTTTGTTAGGCTGGCACATGAAGAGACCCAGGAGGAGACAGGAAGCAAGAATGTGGTCAGTTCAATCCCCTGCACCTAACTAAAGCAAACACACTGCGGTAGTGGATGGATGTTTGTCACAGTACTGACCATAATACTAAGTCAGGGGTCTGACTTTGATAACCTTGTGTATTTATATTTTTCAGTTATTTACTATATGGTCTTCCCAATGTAATTATAATCAATCAAAGAAATAAAAGAAAAATATTTTCATAAATAAAAAAAACAGTAAATTATAAGATGGCTATAGACATATCATCATAATAATAACATATAACAATTTGATTATAAATTCTCAAAAGTACATTTATTCCTTGTTCCTTCTCATAAAAGTTTTATATGCTGTCTTTTTTGTTTTCATATACCAATAATCAGATATAATCTGCCTCTTTAACTGATGTTCAGAGTTAAATGTCTTAAACTAGTATTTCAGCTGAATACAAAGGAGCATTCAGATTTCATCAAATACATGTGTACACATTTTAGTCTTCTAGTACAAAACCTTGCACACATTATTGTGTAGAGCTCACTTATCTAAGGAATGTTTGAATAAGGAAGTTGATTTTATTTTTGTTTTTTTAAAATAGTCACTTACATACAGATGTGTTCCTGTTTGTAAGTAACATTTTCGTGTGTGTGTCTGAAACATGCTGGTTTTGGCTAACGGACATTATTTATTTGCACATCATCTAACCTAATTGTACTCAATTATTGTCCATGTTAATGCAAGCATCCAGCACATTAGCAACATCTGTAAATGACAGAAAATAAGGAAGAGCATATTGAATCAATTTAAGCAACAAATCTGCCAGTCAAAAATATTCATGGATGTACTAATGTTTGTTAATTTAGGCTTTTTCTGCAGGATGAAAATGGAGTATCAATATTTTACAGTATATTGCATTGTATTTGTGAGGTAAGTTAGAATTTGCTTGTTAACCCTGAATATTTTATAGTTGAATCGAACTGATGGAAAACATTGTATCACCACAAATGAGCTTGACCCTTAAAACTTTTTTAAAAATTAGTCTACAGAATAGAAAGAAATTTCACTGAAAAGTTTTATTCCTAGACAGAGGTACTTTTAACTAAGAAATGGAACCAAATATTAAATGTGCAGCATTTTATAACAACATTAGAATAAGTTTTTCAGCTTGCACATCTTTCTTCCTAATCCAAATATTGTTGTTCCACCAGCTGACACAAATTATTCTGTTCCCGTATATATGGTCCCATGTAAACAATCTGTACTATTTGTTCTATCAATAGGATGCAGACCCGCCTTCCTCTACCTCTAAATTACCTCCCACCATGCATGATAAATTGTACAGCCAGTTCAGAAAGGCATCTAACGCTGTATTCTTCCTTTGTGACTCACCTCCAGTCATTGCTTTTTCATCTCGCTTCAGTGTGTCCGGTCATTTTCTGTGCCTTCTCTTGACTGATCTTGTAATGATGTGTTGGCAAGTAGAGAACGATGCAGTACCGCCAGAACTAACCACT